GACAACTTAAGTTTACAAAACACATACATTTTTGTTTGTTTTTGGAATCCACCAATTGTTCTGGATTCAGCAAGTTTTTCTGCGGATAACACAAATTTTTTTTGCGGAATCCGCAAAGTTGCCTGTTTTTGAAGCTATATTTGAGCTTTACACTGTTTCAGCTATTTGTCCGAGGAATCCAAAACAAAAAGAAGATCTTTATAAATAAGCAATGCGGATTCTGCAATATCTCTGTTCTCAACCTATTGTGGAATCCTAATGAAAGTCAAAAAATTCAAAATTTTTCCTCGTAATGTGCGCACTTTTTGTCATGATTATGAAATTTTTTTATAAGATTGAAAAAAAAACAATTAGAAAAAATCTTATTTTTTTTTCTTTTTGAGAATTGTAATGTTGCTTTGGCACGGACGTTTTAAAGTTACTTCAAAAACACAGGAACGTTGGTTACTTCAAGGAATGTTGCTTACTTTTGTCAACATAGAAAAATTATGGCTAGAACTATGTTATATCTGATTTTGACATAGGTTGACTGGAAAGATTTTTCAGACACTGTAAACTTGTGTTTCAGCTAGCTTCACTACTTGAACTATTAATTAAATTTATTATCGATAAGTGTGACAAGCAATTATAAAATATGACTACAGTCTTGTATGAGTGAAACTTGACTGTAATAGTTGTAGATTTGTAGAAAGTTTTGATGAAAAAATTGACATCTTCGAAAAGAGTAATTGCCAATTCTGTTCAGCCACAAAATGTCAACTGAAAATTTCATACTTCTCTAAGTGCGCTTTTTTCTAATTTCAACTATCATTGTTACTTTGGAATAATTAAAAATAAAACTCCAAAGTAAGACTAAACTTTGATGACTGATTACATTAGGCATAAATAAGCTATTTTAAACTCTACTTTAAGCCTGATCGCTCACCTTTATCGCTTGAAATCAGACCAAAAATAAAAAGTTCAAACAGGTTTTTCTCAACAATTAAAAATTTTAAACGTATTTTGATTTTAAAGAGTTTTCAAGGTAGTTTTAAGAGTTCATAAACACAATTTGAAAGTTTTTACATGAATAGGAACATTTTTTTTTTCAAAAAAAATTATCTTCCTTAGTTACGATATAACTATACAGTGAAAAAAATTTTGGCTGTTTTTGAATTTTTAGGGAAAAAAATTGCTGAGAACTTTTCCTAAAAAATTCTATAAGAGAGCGGAAAATAAGCACAAATTAGTAAGAAGTACTAAGATAGTGTACATTTTTCAGGGATGGTCAAGCCAGGATACTTGTGCGAGGTTTAGTGCCTGGTGGTTTTAAAAAAAACTGCATTTTTAAAGATCCTAGAAAAGGTTTGAGATCCTTTTTAATTATTTTTCTTTCCTTTTCCGACAAAAAGTGTTAGCTGAAAAGCTTCTCGTGTTTTTAATTTCGTTGGAAAAAGCTCATCAGAGTAAAAAAACTCTCGGTTGAGAAGCTGCTATGTAATTCAAAGTTTCATGTATATTCATTGAAGCGAAACACGAAAAACAAACTGATTTGCATGTGTCATGCCCGTTGTTTGCATCATGGCTAAGCTGTGACTGTTCCGACGGCCCATGAACTGATCTCAAAAAGTTCACGAATAAACTTTTTGACAAAATATGAATTTTAGGCTTCATTCATCACAGTACTAAGCGAGTCATTTAGTTAGAGTTGTTCACAGCGAAAACTTCAAGCAAATATTGTGGTGAGGGCGAACCGTGTGTGAACACGAAAAACCAGTGATCAATCCCCCAGGAGGAAAATTATTTTGAAAATTGGCCTAAAAAAACCACCCAGAGCATATGTATTCCTATTTTCTTCGAAAGTCGGAATATTAACAAAACATACTAACGCAGTTTGAAGTAAGTTCAATAAACAAGATCAGAGAGTCGATATCCCGTGTTAAAACCCTTTATTACAAAAATGATTAAATAAAATGAGCTTAAGAATTGAATAACAACCACATCTTTTGGCAATCAATTAAACACTTAGGTGATAGGTATGTACACTAGAGTAAGAGCTGAATGAGATTGGTAAATGATGAACATTAGATGGACATCGAAAGCTTCAGTGACCTTAAAGGAAAGTTTGCTGCCGTATCTAATCATGGATTTCTCGTTCGTAATGCTAAAAAACATCAATTGTTGATGGCTACCGGGGTTGAACAAAAATTCCTATCATACAATTTTATATGTGAAAAAATGTTTGTCAAACAATTTTGTACAATTTGTATGATTTAAAAAAAATATGAAAAATGTATGATTAGAGTTTTTTTTCCATACATATGATGTATGGATTTGTATGACAAGCATTTTCGCTGCAAGGAATTATAAGATAAGCATTTTTGGTTTATGAAGGTCAACCCGGGTAATTCAAAACGGTTAAGTGTCTTCGGTTTTCACTTAGGCTGCGGGATTCATTGAACATTACTTCCACAAAACGTTTTGATGAGAATTTTTGGTTGTCTTAAAGACAAAAACAGTTGTTCTAACCTTTGTTTTGATTTTCCTGGCAACATATTTACGACTTGATATGCCAAATTCAGCCTTTGTTTTTTGTCAAATTTCATATATCAATTCAATTAATATGCCATAGTATAACAGTAAACGCGGCACTAATTTCTGGATATCTAATCTCTATTGTTGGATCGATGGTCAGATCAGATTAATTGCTTTACGGCAGAAATGACAAAAACTAAACGGGGAGCGGTGATAAAGTATTTTTTTCTCCGCGTCTCAATTGACAAGTCGAATGTTCAAGATCCACCATTATCAGTGCTCGTATCAGAGGCAATGAACCAGCCCAGAAAATTTACCAAAAATTGCTAGCATATTTTAACCAGGGGCACAAAAGCGGTCCTTGAACAGCTCGTATGTTGGACCGTTCCCTTGTGGATAAATCATCTTAATCTTCCCATTTTCAAATGACAACATCTCTGAATGATGAACTTGTATGAAAACTGAACTATTAATACAAAGAAGTCAGAAGAAGGTCATCCATGCGTTTGATGAAATGAAGTTTATTGTAGGCGTTACAGTAACCAGTTCGAGATTTCAGACTCATTTCCAGATTTGCGCGACAAATTTTTGGCATGTCCAAACTTTCCCCGGGTCAACATCCCGCCCAAGAACCGCTCAAGTTTTGAACGGTTTGAGCAGTTTTCCGGCAAAATTTGAGCTGTCTGAGCGGATTGAGCGGTTTGGGCGGTTTTTTGGAAAAACCGCTCAAACCGTTCAAATCTTGCTTCAAAAAACCGCTCGAAAGCCACAAATTTCTCTTAATTAGATTTTTGAATGGTTTTTCACGCAAGATTTGAGCGTTTTTTTTTGCGGTTTAATAAAAAAAGCGATTAAAACCTACAAATGTCCGGAAATCTTGCGCTGTTTTTGGGTGTTTTTTTTTTAGATAAACCGCTCAAACCGCTCATTATGAAGCAAGATTTCTAAATAACCGCAATCGTCTAAATAACCGCTCAAACCGCTCAAGTCTTGCTTCAAATTAGGTGAAAAATCTCGATTCGTGTTGCAACTGAAATTACATTTGTCCAGACTTTCACGACTAAAACTTGGCATTCCCAACCACTCAGCCGCGACTTTTTTGACTAAGGCGGAGATGGCGAGATCGGCACGGCTCAGGAAACGGCGCGACCAGCCTGGCTCAGGAAACGGCGCGATCAGCGCGGCTCAGGAAACGCCGGAATCGGTGGACCAAACTCAGCTACTTTTTCCAGACTTTCGGAGCCGAGTTGGAGATGGCGCGATTTCGCGACTAACGTAGATATGGCGCGACTCAAGAAACGACGAAAACCACTGAACAAACAAGGAAAATCAAGAAATGTTTTGATGATCATTGTTTATAATTTGATTTTTGCTTTCATATCTGAGCAACATAGTTTGAAAGAAACTTCGCAATTGATTTTTTGGGGGGGATATTGAACTTGTTTCTTAGTTGAAATTTTCAAAAATCCAAATTAAGCATTCTAAGTGTATAGTTACACGCAACTTTAAGCAAACTCATTTCGTGAGTGGAAAACTTTTCGTTTTAGCGGGAAGTTAAATTGCCTCTTTTTTGGGATTTTAAATTGATACCTTTTTTATGATTTCATTCAGCTTCTCTTCGATTCAGATGCAGACTTTTTCGTTTTTTTTTTCCGAATTCAGTATATTTTGCGTTGATTGCGGCATAAAAAGTATGAAGAAGGTTCAACTTGGTCTGTTTAACAAAAATTAGTCTATACATGAATCCTTGAGTAATTTTCTGGGAGCTGAAAAGATAAAATTACAATCTTACTCCCTGAATTTTTTCCTCGCGACAATCAAAATCACTGTCCGTTCAAATCCAGTTTTTTTTGGATGGTTAAAAAAACACTTTTTTTCTTCTTTTCGGTTCAATGATCATTATTATCTTTGCATCTGCGGTCAGCACTGGTGTATATTCGAACTTCAAAAGAATAGATAAGATTGCAATTAAATAATCTCCGTATCATCTGCCATAGTTCACCCAACCTCAAAGAGAGTCGGGAAAATTTCACAAGAGCTCAGTCATTTCCTGAATTTAAGAGCGAACTATAAACAATTGAATTCTTCTGTCTTCAGATGTTTTCCTAACATTCTTTTTATTTGCCATAAAAACGTTAGTCGCTGTGAAGCAAGAAATAGGTAAGTTTTTTTAATTTCTCGCTTATTGCAGGTATGAAAAACATTGTTGAACTAATTTTTCATTATACCGGTGGTCGTCCTGATTGTATATACACTTTAAGTTTCATTATTTTGCGAATACTTTATGCTTTGCGTTAAATATAATTTTTTGGAAATGTTAACTTAAGAGAGAATTTTTCTTCTAAAATCTCAAAAATCAAACTTCAATCAATCAACTTTAATCATGTGAAACTAAAATGTTGCACGAAATCTGTGTAACAATTTTTTTTCATGTTTTCAAACTTTTATTGCTCAAGTTATAACAAACACCATTTTGTGATTTAAAAAAAGAACAAAAGCGTTGCAAAATGGATTTTGTTGGCTGTTATGAATGATGGAAAATTTATGAATATCCGCAATAAAAACAAAATAAAAATTTTCATATTGAAAGTCTATGTTTTGCATTGGATAAAATCAAGAACGAATAGAACTCTCGTTTCCTTCGACTGGCATTTCAGAGCTTCTAATTTTCCAGTTTCTATCAAATTAAAACCGGTCGATGTCAAGTTATGCAGCTTCTCTGTTGAAAATCATCTGCAAAAAGTGAGAACTAAAAGTACTTTTTTTTCTGAATTTTCTACTTGGAATTGAAATAATAGGCCGAATTTTTAGGTGAGTGTTGAAACATGAAAAAAATTCAATTTTGGTCATAGTTGTTTTTTTTTGTAAAATATTTCTTATCGACTTCTGAAATTCTGAAATTTTGTTGCCTTCAACTGACAAATGAGAACTTTTATTATTCAAAATACCCTTTGACGTTTTTCTTATCGAGCGCCCAAAATTATTTATCTTGGGTCGACGCTACTATGGTAAGTTGGTTGTGTTTTCTCATGAGAACAAAACACGTTAAATTTTTTGCGAGTTTCAAAAATCACAGACAAAATTCAGAGATTTTATTCTTTCTGAGACATAAAAATAGGTGATGATCTTTTTGCAACTTAGAAAGAATGTCAGGTTGCTGTGAACAAAAGGAACAATTTAATGTCAATTTGGTTTGTCTTTTACTTTTTCAACTAGTTGGAAACAATTGGAAAAAATAGAAAAAAAATAGCCTTGCAAAATTGGAAGTCTTTGGTTGAAAATAGCCAACTACCTTATATGGAAATTAAGCCACTGGTTTTACAGACAAAAAAGTGAGATTTCACATCGAGTTGAAATTTTTTAGATTCATTATCTTCCAACAAATTCACTGACCGAAAAGAAAACTGCTAATCAATTGGCAGTACATTATCTATCTTTTTTCCTGATAAACTGCGAGAAGCAAAACATTTTATTTCAAAATCATATGAGGCTAACAATTTCCTCTTAGTTTTTTTGGCGTTTGAAAAAATCGGAATATTATTTATATATGTGGGTTTTTGTTCTGCAGACTTCGACTTTTTACCTCGCTTTTTTAACGATATTTATTTTAGCAGCTGAAAGTTATTGAAGTCCAGGGCTCAATTTAAAAAAAAAACATTTCATTTCTGGCCATTCTTTACATAGTTATGGCGATTTGAAAGTTGCCAGTTTGGCTTATTTGGACAAAGAAACGCGCAACGTATTTCGTTCTAATTTCGAGCAAGCGGCTGCTTAATGCGACTCATTTGATTTGCAGCAAGCTAACAGGGATTATATCCTGAGCTGAGTAGTTTAGTTACTGCATTACAGCATGCACCATACAACACTTTCTACTTTACATGGCGTTTGAGAATAATGTTTTGCACATTTTCCAATTGTTTCCGAAACTGTTTCATTGCTGTTACAGAGCGGCAGGCAAAAAGTTTTCTGATATCAGCAGCCTTTTGCTATATGGAATACGTGAAATAATTTTTTTGGATTAATTTTGGAATGTAATTAAAAGTCACATGGTTATTGACTTAAGTAATAAAAAATAATAGTTTTTGCTTAATTTGAAACGATAATTCATATCATTTAAATTTCCAAAATCTTAAAAAACTAAACAATTTAGACGTTAGAAGGCCAATTTTTCAGCAGGATGCTCGCAATTTGTCAGAACTTAGAAAATGGGGAAGCTCTAGAAATACTGGACAACACATGGAAATTCCAACCAATTAATTAGAAAACAGTGTTTATCAATCTTAAGTTTTTTTCACTAATTTTGTAATCTTGTAAGCTCTTGCGGATCTGTTTTCAATTTATGGCATCGATGTAAAATGTTTTCAAAATGGCTTAATAAATTGAGCTTATACACCATCCAATTGCAGTGAAAAATAACAAAACAGTCATGAAAATCAATCTTATTTTCCGAAAAACTGCTGAAAAGTTACAAACCTTAAAAAAGTCTACAAATTTTAGGTATAAAATTATATGCACTCCCATTCATAATGAAATAAATCATAACGTTTTTTCAATTTTTTTTTCAGTCGATAAGAAATGCATGATTAACTTCATTTCACAAAATTTTGCACGCGCTCAATAAAAAGAAATGACCAACAAAAGAACATCTACAATGTTATTTTTCCTATTTTTTGGTGTTTTACTATATAAGGATGCCTAACATTTTAAGCCTTTTTTGGAATGTAAAACGATCATATTGAATTATGTTCCGATGAAACAGTTGCATAAACTCATGTTGCTGATTTGGACTGAACCTGTCGCGTTTTGGCCTTCAGCGTACACTCTCTCTCAGTTACATTATCCGAAAGCAAGAGAAAGTGGTACCCGGGTTGAAGTCGCACCGTTAATTTTCGCTTTTCTGTATTATCCAGTGATCGCTTTTTCCAGCGCTGATTCATGAATAACTCAGAGTTTCTTGCATAGCTTAACTTGCGCTATTTGAGAGATATTTCAGCTTTTTATCTGTCGAATATCAACGCTAAATTTAAGAAACTATAACTCGTTCTTGTAGCTTTCCAATAACAGTGCCCGTTAACAAACACTATAACTTGTGTGTATAAAAGTTTTCCTGAATCAGATTTACCAGACAAGTCTTCTAAGCTGATCTATAAGGCTTTGTGGCGCAGAGGCAGGAAACATGTCAACGAAGCTTATAGTTGCAGGATCGAACACCGGTAGTTCACTATTTTTTCTCTATTTGATCTGTTTCTTTTCGCTGTTCCATCGCTGATAATTAGCCAAATAAACGATAACTTATCGATAAATTTTGCTATTGTGGCAATAAACATCGATAGTTCATCAAAAGCGATTGCTGTTTTTTTCTTTTTTTATCGCTGTTTTTGATGTGAACTCAACCTGGGTAGTCCAAAACAGACGCTCAAAATGTTTTATTTCCGCGTAATTGGAAATATAATGCTTAAATTGTTTATAATTGAACTTCATTACAAAAAAGTTAAGAGAGAACGAATTTTTTTTCATATTATTACTTAGTTTTTGTCCTGAAAATGAAACTGAAGTCAATTCTTAAATGGGTATAATCGCCTCCAACACCTTTATAACTTTTTTCTTTTCACTAATTGCAAGCCACATTTTTATGGGCAAAACTTATTGTTAAGCAAAAATTGCAGCAATAGAAAATATAAATATTTTTGCTAATTTACAAACTTTGAAATTGATGAGCTGTTTCATTGCTCAATTAGGTGATCCAGCAGTGAAAATTATGTTTCATGAGAATAGGCCAAAAACTGTATCAGACTAAATAAGAGAAAGAAATTTCTTATCGGCGATTTGAAAAAACGAAAGCTTTTATTTAGCACATTTGCACAAAAATTGAGTGATCAAAAGTAGTTGCCAACCTAAGAAACGAAATTACGATTTCAATTCGAAACCGATCTGATTTTTTCGCAAACTCAAGGATCACTTTTAACCTAAGAACATACACGAACACAAATATATATATATATACTTCATTGAAAACTTTCTGTGATATTATACTGAGAATTGATGGAAACTTGGGATTGATCGATGGTCCATTAGAGCCCAACATAGCTACATTTAACGAGTCGAAACCCTGAATAATCTGACTGCATTTAAATTTTTATGGACTGATGTAAAATGAAAAAATTGATGAAAATTAGTTTCAAAAAAGAGATTTTGGAAATCCTCGTCAAACAGTCCACCTGACCACACAGACCACTTGACCACATGAACCAACTGAACCATCCAAGCTCCCACCTAAACCAAACCCCCTCACCTGAACCAATATTTTGGTCCAGGTGGTCAGGTAGGGTATGTTTTAGATCAGGGGCGGTGGTTCAGGTGGGGGGAGGGGCGGTTCAGTTGGTTCTAGCGGTCAGGTGGTCAGGTGGATGTTAGTTCAGGTAGTGGGGGCAAAGTGGCAATTTTTTTTGGAAGGGGAGGGGTTGTAAAGGGGCAACGGGACAGTCTTTAGCGGGAGGAGGTTCACGAAATCATTTTGTAATGTGAGAAATTAAAAGTTTAGAAAACGAGTAGGCTGTACACTTGCTCTGCAAAATTTCCGCATCACTCATTTGATAATGCAGAATTTCGTGCAAAATTTAGAACGATGCAAAGCAAAATTAAAGTGGGAAAAATCCATTTTACTTGAGATCAAATGGATTATAATTAATACTAAGTCAGTTAAAAGCAAAGGATTATTATCAATTTTTTTTTTGTTCCGACCATTCGAAAATTATGCAGGAATTTTGTATTCGGGTGAGTTTTAGTTTCTTTTTCTTTTTTTGTTTTCCAAGCAAATTCAGACGCCGCAAACCACAAAAAATCATCGGATTGGGTCGGGTAATATATCACACCAAAGCTTTTTCAGTCGTGATTGGAACGACATTAAAAAATTCAAAATTTTATCGCAGTTGGAAAAAACCGGTTGAAATATTTTAAAATATTTGAGTTTCAGTCCAAATTCGAGTGAAAAGAGCGATCGAGTAACATTCCTTGTGAATAAACATTGGTCATTTAGCCTAAAAAATTTTGATTATACTAAAAAAATAGTTTTGGAAATTTCATTAAGAACTGACTTGTGCATAAAACTTTTCCAACGATTTTTTTTTCTGTGCAAAAAATTAGGAATCATTTTAATTTTTTTAAATTTTTTTTCTATTGTTCGTTTAATTATTTTTGAAAGACGTTTGTAGCATTTTATGCTTAATTGTCTAACTTTCTACCTTTTCTTATAGTTAAATAATCTTTTCTTACAAAAACAACGCTTATTTGAAATTGAAAACAGTTTTTTTTGTGGTTTTTTTACGACTCTGGCCGGAAAATTCTGTGCTACTTACTACACAGCAACAGGCCATCCCTCCATTTTGTTGTTTGAGTGCAAAATTTTATTTGATTATATTGACAATTTCTTAGACCCACAAAAATCCATTATAATTGATTTCTTTTTCACTTTTCTTTTTTTTTAAATTTGAGCTCAGGACAACAATATATTATGAATGGACATGAAAAAATCACGTCAAAAATGGCTAATTCAAAAGTCGATATTTGTCTGAAGACAAAAAAAAACAAAAAAACCAAAAGCCGGAACGAAAAGGCAATCATACGCAATGTTCGCAAATCTATCCGTCTTCATTGATAAGACTCATTAGCTGACCCTGCCTTTATTGCAACTATTGTGAGGACCATTATGGCAACCTATGTTAACTTATTCCCCTGATCAATAGATGAATAGAAGATGTCTATACGTCTAATCTTTGCTCGAGTTATCATAACCCGAACATAGATTAAACATAATAGACTAAGAAGCAATAATGCATGATGCATTTCTAAGTACTGATAGTTGTAGTGGTGGGTGTTAATGGCCTCAAGACAGTTCTAGCTTTTTTGTTTAGCATGCTAGCCAGACACTTTTGTTTTAGACTTATCTTTAATTTCTTTAACTCTCCTACCCCCCCCCCCCCCCCCCCCCCCACGCCTAGGGTTTCTAATAGCGAATTTCCACCCCATATAAAAAATGAATTCAGCGGCTACGGCTAAGCATATGTGAATTTTGTACTTAGGTATAAAACCCCCTTGCAAACTGGGGGGCGGGGATTCGACGTATCCCAAGTTGATTGAGTAGTTCTTAATTTGTTTCAGCTGATGCTACCTTAAGCCCCCATAAAAGCGGCACACGAAAAATCAGTGGACGGAAAAATTACAAATATCAGAAATAAAAACAGAGCGCATGTACCAAGTGCATTTCAATTATTTATACCATTCTCCCTTTTTCCTCCGAATATTCGCATTTATCCATTATTAAAATATACAATTCGGTCGATATTAGAGAGCAAATAAGACAAAAAAAGACAAACTCAAAAGCCTCAGCTTTCTTTCAACGCCACTCCAAACCTGTTAAAATCTACCCGACAAAAAGCCTTATTTTTGAACTATTCCACCTCTTTTTAACTATTTTTCACTTGTCAAAACTTGACGTTTTTACCCTTTGACGACGGATCAATTTTTTCAATTCCAATATACTTTTCTTTTTTAAAGTTCAGTCCTTATCGATTTTTTACCACTTTGGAAAGCTCTCTATCGAAGGCGGTTTTTATTAATATTTTTAAAACCGCTAGGGATACGAAAAAAATATTCGTTTGTTTGTTTACCTATTTTGCTATATTTTATTCCAGTTATGCGTATTGAGAAAAAGGAACGTTGAGGCGTTATACTTTTTTGATGCCGAACTGAAGAAAAAATCAATTAAATTCTGCAACTTTTACTTATGTTGTTTTGCTGATAAAGCCCCCGCTGTTTAGTATTTAAAATATTTGTGAACAAACTCCAACAACTTTGAAAAAAAAGTTGAGTTCTAAAAATAAAAAAAAGAGTAATTGGTTTAGACTTGCATAACCTTTGTTCATTTTTCCCACCTTCTAGATTTAATAAATGATTTTATTTACTTTTAATTTTTACTTTTACTTATTGGCTCCTCTAATTGTTATTTTTTGATTCTTCTAAATTCTTCTACTTTTAAAGACATTATTGATTTGTTCAAAAATTTCACAACAAAGTTCGTGTTAGACGTTTAAAAGTTCTTCATTCGTATTTTTTACGCATGTCAACCTTAACAGCTTCACCTTTACCATCGACGCCCTCTATCGACAAATCTGCGACACAAACTCAACACACAACCAAGAAAAAAGGGGAGAAAAAATTGACAAGTGGGTTAAGTACTGCATCGGCACTGACTCAGTCGCGGATGTTGGCTAGACAGAATACGGTTCCAGATGTGACCAAGGACAGTTCTGGATATACGTGGGAGATATACGGGGCCGAAATTGACCCAGATTCCCTTAGAGAAGGTAGCGGTGCTGTAGTTTGTAATTATTGGGATATGTTTCCATCACTCTCCCCCTTTGAAAAACCTCAATTTATGTCATTGTAAACAGATCGGCTTTCTGTAATTTAAATGCGTGCCAAAACTTATTACAATCAGATAATTCAAACTACAGTTTTACAAAAAAAAAACTATGGATATAAATAAATTATCGGCTTGAGGTTCAATTACACCACAAGCCGAGCCTACTTATTCTTGACTTCCGAGCGATGTTTTAGGGGGGGGGGGGGGAGATTTAGGGTCGAGATGGTCGGATTTTGTAACGTATGAGTTGACCGAACACCCGTTTTCAGTCCAAGTTATTTATGTCAAAAAAAGTTTCGTCCGACCAGCCTTATGGGTTCATCAGGGTCGATACTTGGTTTGCCCAGTATCGACATAAGTGAGAACCAGAATTATTATGTAAAAGAAAAATTCTTAAGTTTTTCGACAACTTTCTTTGTTTATTTTTAGGCTTTTCGTGGTAAAATACTTCTGCCAATAACAAACCGTTGTTCATGGTTTGGAGTGGTTTTTTTAAATCCTGGATATGCCTGGTCAACTTCTGGCTCATCTATATGCAAATTTATATCAGAAAAAAAAGTCAGCAAAGGCTGATTTAAAACCCGTTTAGACAAATAAACCACAAACTGATCTAGTTGAATTGATTCTGACAAACAAACTAATAGTTTTTAGCAGTTATTGAGGCTTTTTACTCACCTAAAAAAGTATCTAACCCTTGAAAAGAAATTTAGAGTTATACTTTGCCTGAAAAGTTTTTGATTTTTTAAAAACTGAGTCATTTGCGTAGCATGAGTACTTTGAAAAAGTTTTTTTTTTAGAAAAATTGGGCTCTTTAAAAAAGCTAGCTACAAACCTGTGTTGGAAAATGATTCTCCTACATTTTTTCAATTTTTCGAGAAATTGCATATTACAGAAAGGCATTACAAATTTCAAGTTCTGACTCGCACCAAAGTTTTTGTTGTATGTTGTATAAAAAATTCAGCCTATTCTTTGTAATCAACAATATTAACATTTTTTTTTTCGAAATATACTTATTTGAGCTTGAATTTTGCGACTAAAAATGCTTGCGGTCAACCCAGGTCAAACCCTTAAATAATGCGGTCAATCCAGGATGTTCGTATTAAAAGCCTAATCTTTTTGACCGCGGTAAAGATTCTGCTCTCAAAAATATTCAAAATCACACGTAACTTGCTAGTTGGTCTTTCTAAAATCTTGCAAGATTATCATTTTACTATATTTGATATTTGGTGTGGGAGGAATCGTTTTCGCAAATTTCTAGCTTTAACAAACAATGTTTTGGCCAAAAGTAACCACATTAGGTTAAAGTTTATCTCTTTTTCAATTTTTGAACGAATTTTTGCCCTCTATATTTTGCCTGTTCCATTTTTCGAGTTAAGTGATGAGCAATTTAATCCTTGGGTTGTTTTTCATTCAGAATCAATTAGAATATTTAAATAACGCTTTTTTCTTGAATACCATGGCTTTTGAACGTTGTGAGCTCCTACAAAACAAATTTCACTTGCCACAATTTTTGAAAAAATTTGGAGTTTGAAAACACCGACACTTTGACAAATTGGAATAACTAAGGTGCTTTTTTCACTAGTTTTACACTAATTCATAGCGCATAAGGCGAATCAAATCATCCCAAACCTTATTGAAGCAAATCAATAGAAGCATTTTTTAAATGTTGCTTATATCTCTTGAAGCTCTCAATTTGTTTGCGGGAGAAACTTCAACAACAAAAAAGAAACAAAACAGCTGAAAACTTTCTTTCATTTTCACGGATAAAAAAAAAACAAAACAGACTGAATTTAGTTCAGGCGGAATATTCACAATTTCACCGTGATTTGAGCTGTTTCATAACAACAACTTCTCTTCATACAATTCTTACAATTCCATGCGTGCAGAAAAACGTATGAAGTCTCTATGACAAGCATTTTTCCTTATATGAAACTTGTATAATAGATGTTTTTCCAAAAACAAACGTTTGATTTTTGTTTCTAAATCTAATTTCTGAAAATAATTTTGGGTTGTGTTTGTAACCGAACGCAAACGGCAAAGACTTTTGTTTACTCTCAGAACCAAAATTTGGAGCGTCTTGCCTTTACAATCTATAGAAAATTACCTGAATTGTCTTAGAGCTGTATTTCGCAAATGATATAACGTAAGTAACAAACATATAAATTTTGACAACATTTTTCAACGGCGATTACTCTAAAAATTTGAAACTTAAAGTTATCGGACATTAATCAAGGCATAAACAAACACAATATACAAAAGAAATAAGAGATTTCAGCGTTTTTGAATAAGGTTATTAAGCGAAAAGGAAAAAAATTTCAATTCAGTGTGTCCAGGATTACATTATGCACACAAAAAAGGAAAAGTATTGTTTGCGTACAAAATTCAACTTACGGTTGAAAAAAAAACAAAAAAAAACATTTTAGGGTAATTTCAACATTTTTTGTGTCGCCATAAAAAAAGGGTAGTCATACAATTTTCATTTATGGGAATTGTATGATGAGCATTTTTTTTCCAGAAAAACCTCTTTTTTTGTCACCTCACTGTTTTGTTAGAAACAAACAGCCGCAGAAATTAGTTTATATCTTTTATCAACCATTGTTCAAAATTGAATAAAAATTGTATGACAAGCATTTTTCCACACACTTGATGTATGGATCTGTATGATAGGCATTTTCGGTGTACGAAGTTCAACTCGGGAAACTGTCTACTTTGAGAATTTTAGGCGGATTTCGCAACAAGGATGTTATCTTTGATCTTCCTTTGTTCTTTCATTTTCTTTGATCCTTTCGGCAAAAATTTACCATGTTTGAAGTCTTGTTTCTGGATTCTAGAGACTTACACGTACCAATTTTTGCGCCCATTCAGTGATGCTTTTTATGTTGCACTTTCCAAAAAAACACCAGAACAAATTTGCTTGTTTTTATGCAGTTTTTTTACCAAAAAAAAGCAACATTATATCCCATTGAAGACAATCCCTTCTTGATAATAATTTTTAAAAGTTTTTCACGTGCAAGAAGATATTTCATTCCTTTTTAAAAAGTTTTGGGAGTTGATATGCAACAAAATAAAAAATTTCAAAATTAATTGAGACTAGCATTTCGTTCTTAATATTACGCAAAAGATATCACTATGTTCTTCAAAATTAACTTGAAACATATCTATTTAGGAACCAGAATAGCGGCAACGAAAATGATTTGAGAACTGTGAAAAATATTCCAACTTTATATGGATGTTTTCGTAATCTAGATGTATGCTTCAAAGGAATTAACGTGACTCAATTCAACTATTGAACATCTTCAAATTTTTTCGTTAAGATGAAATTGTTGAATATTTTCTTATCTAGATCATAAACTAATTCTTTTACTAATTCGTCTCACTTTTATCAACCATTGTTCAAAATTGAATGAAAATTGTATGACAAGCATTTTTCCACACACTTGATGTATGGATCTGTATGATAGGCATTTTCGGTGTACGAAGTTCAACTCGGGAAACTGTCTACTTTGAGAATTGTAGGCGGATTTCGCAACAAGGATGTTATCTTTGATCTTCCTTTGTTCTTTCTTTTTCTTTGATCCTTTCGGCAAAAATTTACCATGTTTGAAGTCTTGTTTCTGGATTCTAGAGACTTACACGTACCAATTTTTGCGCCCATTCAGTGATGCTTTTTATGTTGCACTTTCCAAAAAAACACCAGAACAAATTTGCTTGTTTTTATGCAGTTTTTTTACCAAAAAAAACAACATTATATCCCATTGAAGACAATCCCTTCTTGATAATAATTTTTAAAAGTTTTTCACGTGCAAGAAGATATTTCATTCCTTTCTAAAAAGTTCTGGGAGTTGATATGCAACAAAATAAAAAATTTCAAAATTAATTGAGACTAGCATTTCGTTCTTAATATTACGCAAAAGATATCACTATGTTCTTTACATAACGCTGTGGTTCGAGGATAGTCGAAAAACTATTATATTTTATATAATACATGGCTGTTTTCTATCATGAATTCACGATCAGATTTATTCTATGATTTCATAAATTCTTTATAATTTTTTTTCTGATTTCATGCGTGCCATTGAAAGAGCTTGAACCGAAATAATTTCGCAGTGTAAATTGAAACATATGACCTTGAATGGGCTAACGAAACAAAACGAATGCTTTCTTAGAAAATCAGTTATTTTCCCCCTCCGATAGCAAGGGAATTGATCTTTTCAAGAGTATTTTTTGCCTGTTCCGTTGCGAGTAGGGGTAGCATTGAGCAAAAATGTAACCGGACGCTGAAATGGGGGAATTTGAAGGCGGGGAAGCTCAATAAGAAAATAAGAAAGAAAAGCCTTTTTGGCTGTATGGTCGTCTTGTTTTAGTTAATCGAATTACTGGGGAATTTATGGCGTATGAATGCTAATAAAAAAGCCACAAATTTTTATCACACTCAGATTGGTAATTTACTATAGCAGAAAGCTAAAATTTAAAATGCAGAAAGAACAAAAAATCTAATATGTAGTGAAACGTCGTTTTTGGAATCGATGGCGTGATTACACAGAAATTTTTGACCGTACCGTTTTTTCCAAAGTTTTTTTCGAATTAGGTCGAACAATATGCTTTTTTATTTTATGGCCAAACCATATGAAGCCTCTGGTGCTAGTTATTTTTGGCGCCGTTAACAATTTTTTTTTGAAAAAAAAACCAGTTGTCAAAATGCCCACTTTCAACACAAACTTATAAATCATTGGAGTCAAAATTAACTTGAAACATATCTATTTAGGGACCAGAATAGCGGCAACGAAAATGATTTGAGAACTGTGAAAAATATTCCAACTTTATATGGATGTTTTCGTAATCTAGATGTCTGCTTCAAAGGAATTAACGTGACTCAATTCAACTCTTGAACATCTTCAAAAAAATTTCGTTAAGATGAAATTGTTAAACATTTTCTTTTCTAGATCATAAGTTAATTCTTTTCTAATTCGTCTCACTTGAAAAACGTCCAAAAAATTAATGGAAAACAAACCTTTTTTTGGAAAAGTCAAGATAGCATCTGTTCAATTTCTTTTTTATGGCTGCTATTTCCAGTTGGAAGTCAGACATGATTTTTTTTTCACCTTTTCAGAAGACGAAAAAAAAAATTGATTTTGTTTTAGCAATTATTTACGATATATAGCAAAGCATTAACAGCAACGAGCATTTTGAAATTTAGAATAATGGTGTTAGTTGGATAAATTATGCAACGTTTTTGGTAGCTTCACTTTTTCATCTTCTCTCAACAGTTTAACTTTCAACTAACCGTCTATCGATTTGAAAAGTTCATTTCCAGCTGCGATAAGTAATTTAAGTTGGGCTTTTTATGAATCCAGATGGCCGAGGCAATCAGTTTTCTTGAAGTTGGTTTTTTTTCCAATAAGATCCTTAAATGCTGGATTTTGTGATCGCAATTAAAAGGAAAAATTTTTCGTCAAACTTCTGACAAAAATTGATTTTTAGAAGGTTGCAGCTATTTGTTCAAAGTAACTTACTATAGCTTTTAAGGAGATTTTTTACTTCTGATTTTAGAAGAACCAAGAAATCTTGCAGTAAACGAGACTATATTGAAGTCCTTTCGAACAAAATACAATTCACAATACAAAAAACTAAAAAGCTTCTACCACCTTTTTTGAGAAAAATTGTGACGACCAACTTCAAATATGACCAATTTGAATGCGGATCATTTTTTTTTTGCACTGCTCGAAGCGTTAAATCTGCAGTTTAAATAATCTTCAAGCGAGTTAAGGAAAACGTCGGAAAGAACTGCAACGTCCTTTCAGAAGTTTGTCTGAACAAAAAAAACCTTCTAAGCATATTTTCCTTACTTTCTTTGATTGTCAGAAGTAAAAAAAAATAAGAGATCTTTCAGTCTTGATTAGAGGACAGTGGCTATATACAATACTCCTTAATGTGCGATTCAATCGAAACTTTCTGTGCTAGTTTCTAACGGTTGCATTGGTTGTTTCGAATTATGAATAATGCGACAGAAGATTGGAACTCGTTTTTGCGTTTAGAAGAAACTCTACTACTTAATTAACCATTTTCAATGTTTTTAAAATCATCCGTACTCATAAAAAAATGCCTTTAGCTCGAAATTTAAGAAAAATTCTGCGGCGATTGTTTTCGATAAGTTTATAGGGGTTTGAAAATTGCCAAATAGGGCAGTTCAGAATTAATGACGACCAAAATGCCTGTCTATTAAAAGGTACGCGCTGAAATAGACGAATACAAATGGGTTGAGGCAATCAATTTGGTCTTAATAACCTTTTTCAATTTGTACCTAATTTCGCTTGTTGGGGTATAAAATGGAGAAAACAAAACGACAAATGAAGCCGAATTTGAGGAAAATGAAAAAAAAAATGACGAAGTTATCTTTTTTTTCAACCCGGTTTATCCATTGACAAAAAAGATAACTCTTACACGAGCAACCGCGTATAGTTTTTTTAGTCATAATAATTTGGATTTGGTTATCTTTCAACAGAAGCAGACAGATAAAGAAGGAAAAATCTGAAACAAGAACCTTTGAATTTATAATAAAGTTAAACAAATCGGAAAAAAATGATAAAATTCCGGCTAACTTTATCTCTAGGCAGATTCTTAATCACTTGTGCCAAATGAAAACAATTAATGGAATCAGTTATTTTTATTTTTAGCGATCCAAAAGCACAATGAAAAACTAAAATCTAAACAAACCACCAATTTCCGACCACGACCCAGTGTACAAAGGTCAGCAACACTTCGTGAAAACCTATGGGAACCAGTTCGCAAATTGTTCCTCCCCAAAACACGAAGCGCCACCACTGACGGGAACTTCGAGATCTCAGAAACGGTGTCTTCGGGACACGCCGAGGCACAAGGGGGGCCTTCGGTTGAGCAGCCGAAACGGGAGTCGAAAAGCGAGCGGCTTCCGGCAACTAAAGAAGAAAACGAACATAACTGCTGATGACAGTTTGTTCGTTCGGGAAAAAGCTGAAAACAAAAACTTCACATCATTTAAGTTTTTTAAGTAACTTCTGATTTAATTGCAATCATTATTTGCATTCACTGCTAATATTTAGTTGGAATTTTTTTAAGGCTAAGTTGAGATTTGTAATATATCATCTAGTTGTTAAATGTCATTTCGACTTAATAAAAAGTCCATAGAAAAGTTAAATTTGGTTTCCAAACTAGTTTAGTATTGTTTTAAAAATAGGATGCTGAATTAATTCAATTTTATGTATGAGATTTTATTTGCAACCACAAAAACACAAAAAGTACTATGAAAACAAGAAAAAAAGCTAAAAGAACTAAAAAGCTATTCAAATGCAATTTTTAAAGGTTTTTCTACTAAGTGCAATTTCTTGTGTCAATCACTGTTCCAAACAAAGGGAATGAATAGTCTTTTTATGGCTTTGCAGCTGAAAAACGAGAGACATAGATAAGAGTGAATCTATTAACTGGCAAAGTTTTCCATTGAAAAAATCAATAAATTAGTGCTGATTGATAGCGACAAGTTAACCGATATTGTTTTTTGCAAAACAATTAATAAAGTATCACTGAAGACAGCTGCATGGAACCAAATAACTACAAAAAAATCCGGTTCTAATTCCGAATTTTAAAAATCATGTATTACATTTTCAATAATGAAAATTGAATTACATCCTAATTTTCTTGCATAAATTTGTTCAAAAATGATTATTTTTGAAAGTTTTGATGAAATAATAGTGTTTTGGACAACTGCTCTCTCATGATAGTCTTCAAATGCAGGCAACAAAACACCTTGAAAAAATGATTACTGTGTGAAGGTCTCTAGAACCCAGATAAGTCTTCTAACAAGTTAAAATTTCGCCGGGACGATCAAAGAAAACGAACAAACGGAAGATCAAAGAAGTGGTCAAAGCGTCAAATTTCTGGATTTGGATCAATTTTGGAAGTGTTTCGAAAAATGCCAAAATGGTTTGGGGAAACATGAGAATTTGTTTTTTTTTGTTTGTGTGAAAATAGAACAATCATTTTGTATTAGACCCAATAACTGGGCTACCCCGATTAGTTTGCCAGAAAATATCAGTATTGTTTCAATAATGCAACAGTATAAGAACAGTTTTGTAACAGTACTGGACAAGCGCAACATAAAATCAGGACAATAAACTGAAGTACTGTTCCTTTAATGATTCATTACTGAATCATTGTTCCGACTTTCGATACGAAAGTAACGGAATATTTGTGCTCGGAGTGGGTTTTTTTTTCTTCACACAAATTTCGACTTTTTAACTAGCCATTTTTGACGGAATTTTTTATTCAAAAGGTATTGTTGTCCTGAGCTTATATTTGAAAAAATATTTCACCTGTGATCATTTTTCGTAAAGTTATGAGGGTTTAAAGATTGCCATTTTGACCAATTTGGGACAATTAACGAGCAATAATTCGCGCGAGGCCTAGAAAATTAGACGATAAGCAAATTAGACGGATGCTACAAAAACGAAATTAGACGGAATTTTTTTTCTACAGATCTGGCATTTTAGACGAAAGGGAAAGGGCCACTAAAATTTTTCTTAAGAGTCAAGTTTCACAAATACAAAAAGAACATAAAATGTCAATACCTATCAAAACAATTAGTTTAAATGAACATAAAATGTCAAATCTGAATATTACAGGAGAGTTTTGAATTGAATAAATTATGCATGATTGACTTGTAAAGTTTTTGGCCACTGAAATTGAACTGTTGTCTACAAACAATTTTATTTTTCTAACGCAATTTGTGGGCAAACAAAGTTAAATTCTCTCACTTTTGTCTATTTTCTCACAATTGCAGTTTTGCAAAACCGTCTAATTTTCTTTTAAGTACCTCCGTCTAATTTGCTTATCGTCTAATTTCTCAACCCCCAATTCGCGCTTTTAACGCGTTTGCGGAGATTTAATCCGTCATATAAGTCGTTCTAAATTGGTTGAACGAAGCTTATTTGCCATAATTGATTTGTTACAAGGAACGAAATCTCTCTTTTTGTACTTTATATGGCTTGTGGGGGGATCATTAAAAATTTCAAATTTTAGAAAAAAATTTTCATTTTATTTTATTTCATTTAATTTTTTTATGTTATTACTGCTACTCCATAAACCCTAAAAGTAAAAGGCAGTCAGAACATTCAGGGCTTCGCCCTGATACGAGCAGTCTTGTTTAAGTTTTTGAAATGATTTATTCTGATCAATACCATCTTCTAAGTAGTTCACGCAGGGTACCAAATTGGCATAACAAACTGAATCAACCGAAACTGTTTGGCTTTAACAAAATAAAGTGATTGAAACATTCGATAAAAATCGAGCTGGATTTCTAGGTGTGTTGCGGGAGGGGAATATACATAAAATTGAAAAAAGTTACCCTGCTTTCAGAAATTTCAGTTGATCAAGCCATTTAACAACCAACACTAACTCATTTTTACTTTTTGAGGAAAAGAACTGAGTCTTTACATGGTTTGTAGCCTTGTTGTATTGTAAAGCTGATGTTTTCAGCAGTAACAACACGTTATTAACATTTCGTTCATTTCAAACTTCTGAAAAAAAATGTCGATAAATAGTTTCACAATTGTAATCACCACTCGTGAGCACCGTAAGAAGGATTATATTTCCAATTTTATTGCAGATCATTCCGGGTAACCATGAACGCATTGGTGTGTAATTTTCTAAACCTTGATCATTTTTCCTTTCCCCTTGGGTAAATTAAATTAAAAATTGCCACACCCATATTAAAATAAGATTTTGCAGCTCAAGAGGTTTCCCCTTTTGTAAAAAGGGGAGATAATTTAGAAGATTCAAATTTTTTGATCGTTTTGGGAAACTGGGAGAAATAATATGGTGGTCTTTGCTCAATTGAATGGTAGATGCAAAGGTACATTGAATTGTTATAATAAAACCTTCCAACAATGATTTTTATTCCACGGATTATCCAATTCGTTCATTATGAGGCCAATTCGTGCACGGGATAGGCGTATATGTTGAACTTGTAAGTTTTTGGAATCCAGACAAAAGTTTATAAACATGTTATAAAGTTGTCAGAACGATCAGTTGTTGCGGAAGTCGCTTACATTTCACGAAATACACAGTTTGACCTCGCAATGTTTTCGTCGAGAGAAACTAGTATCAATCCCGAGTCAAGCTAAGCAAAAAGTTGATTTTTTTTTAATGAACTATTGTCTGTTTTTTTTAAGGAAACTTATAAAATAAAAAATCATATTGTATGATAAAAAGTAGAATATGCGGCTGTATCTTCTGCTAGTTCAGGGTTTTCACTTACATGGTCCTATATATAAATGCATTTCTATTTGAATTTTTTTAAATCTAAATAGGCGAAATTAATGAAATTAACATATCAAATTAAAACAATTATGGAATAAAAATTTTCAGGTTACATAGTTTAAGAAATTGGCGACGTTTTAGTAAGACCAATAAAAATCCACTTCGAAAAAAAGTTTCCTTTTAAATGTATATACACGAATTGAAATTTTAGATTCATCCAGTTGTAACTCGGAATGTAAAAAAAATTTGCATGGTACTAGCAAGATTCTTGCCATTCTGTGCATTCTTTTGACGTGCTGTTTTAAGTGCAAACCTTGAAATAATTCAGTAAAATTTAGCTTTTCTTGGACTGTATAAAATTGTACAAGACGTTGCGTAACATATGAAATTTCAACAGAATGCTGATTTTGCAACACTTCTTTTTTTCTCGAAATTTATTCGTAAATAAGATGAATAAAGATAAAAAAAACGTCTGAATACTTACTTGAACAAAATTTTTGATTTATCAATCTTCCAGGGTTGACCTCCTTACAAATAGCTTGTCTTGATTTTTTTATAACTACATAGATAAAAACCTTTCATACAATTCCATGCATGGGTTCTATGTAAAAATTGATTCCCAATTGATTCCTTTTTTTAAAAAAAATTGCCTGTAAAGCTTTTTATTTCATAATTGTTGTTTTATTCGAAAATTTACTGAAAAGGCTTTTAGATAAGATAAAATGAGCTTGCATCGTGTTTCAGCTGAATGAGAGCATATCAGTCATCAACATTTTTTTCGTTAAAATTTCAATTGTCATACAATTTTTTTAAATCAAAATTGCATGAAACCTGAAGGAAAATTTTAGTTCTTATTTTAGTCGCTAAACCAGTTCTTTTTGTACAAGAAAAATTTTTTTCAAACTTTTCAATTTTTTGCATATAACGTAGTCCGCGCTTTTGAAAATAAGAACCATTAGTCACAGTGAAGGTTCTCTGTGGTGGCAGAATTCGTACTTTTCGGTTTTAGTGAACAACACATTATCAAAATTGGTCCAAAAAACAGGCCGCGATGTTCAACCTTTTCGTTTTTTCGAACTAGAGGCTTCGTAGCCATATACACGAAAAAACTTTTTTTTTGTTATAAGATCGTGTGAAAGAAATTTGTGTATATTAATTGGCATCTATCAAAATGCAGTTTACTCTGCAAACTGCCGTTTAGCTTCCTCTTGGTTATCTCTTTTCAGAAAATTTTTGGTTTTTTGTGTTTCAGGTCGAAATAAAATATAAAGCGAAAAAAAAAACATTTGTTTTTGGAAATAAGGCTTGTCGTACAATTCCAGAGTCTGGGAAAACGTCTGACAGTTCCGTAAATTGGGAAAAAGATCCGTAACATGCTTTTCAACCAAATGTTTTTATTCTTTTAGTTGTATGATAAACTTTTTCTCCATATTATGCTTTTGTTTGATAAACTATTTGTGTGAATCCGAATAATATATCTTTTTTTGTCAACACGGATAATCCACCTAGTTTATACAACAAAGTTTTTCCAGGATTTAACCCTGCGCATTCGAGAGACCGCTTTTGCATCGTAATGAAGTCTTTCAAAACTCCTTTTTCCATATATGTATCTTTTGTTTTTAGGAAACTTACTTCAGCTATCTCGAGTGTTAGATTTGGCTTTAATACTGCACAACTAGCTAAAGTTATAAACCCTATCAAAGTAATGGAAAAACTATTCGTCCAGTTAAGAATTCTTTAAAGTTCCTAAAATAAGAATAGAAATACGAATCTTTCAAGAAAATGAAAATTAAAATGTAATTCTACGCGAACTTTTATGCAAGAGACTTATAAGATTTACATTCCAAGAATACTAGTTTTTTTTCCGTTTTACATAGTTTTTGAACAATGAATATTAAAAACGTTTCAACGCGTTGTTACAGAGCTTTTCAGCCCATAAAATCATATTCTTTGAGTGTATCTTCCAATAAAACGTGGTTATCGTCATTGCGACGGTTGAGCGCCAGCATTGCAACAGGGACATACGTTTCGACGTTTGTATTGGTGCCGACCACATCTTCGTTGTCACGCCGGCACGATGAAATTTTGACACTATATTGCCGATGCCCAAACATGAAATTCAAAGAGTGCATTACGGCGAACAAATAAAACAGGACTCCGCTAATTGAATACAGAAACGTGGTAGACTCCCAACCAAAGGAACCCGGTTCGAACCTCAGCAGGATCTTTGTGTAATAAGTCCGAGCACAGTTCGTATTCATTTCCGAAAGCCGACTCAGGATTGCGTAAGGAAACCAGCATATTACATAACACAAAACCGAGCCGAGGTTAACACTTACTGTATGCAGGGACTTCCTAAGTATTATTATCATATGTGATTGGCCCTCGATTGCGGTGTTACGTAAAGTGCTGAACTTCCGTAAGATTTTCCAAAAAGTTACCGAGTAAATTGATAGGCAAATTATAGTTGTGAAAATGAACGTTACGGGCAACATTGCATCGAAAACATCCAGAATTCGGTAGATGTTAAATTCATGCTTGCCGTCGTCGAAAATTTTATACGAACTATAGTATATGACATTTTCGTCATTCGGTTCAGTTACGTAACGTTTGTTCGCTCGCCAATGACTTTCCAGGAACGACATGATTACGCAATCCAAAATGGCCAAAATTACTGTACACACAAAAAACTTAGCATTTCTTTTCACTAATTTTTTTCTTTTCTGGATATTGAGATGGTTGTTGAAATGAATTAAACGATCAATTGCTGTGAAAATAGCACTTAGGCTAGTAACAGCGCCAACAACTCTTCGTCGTGTTTCAGTTACCGTCAACAAAGTTTGATGAAGTTTTGGCGTTTCTTTTTTGTCGACATAGACGTCAAGAACTTCAAAGATAAATGTTGTGATTGACATTTCAAGGCCGCAAAATAGAAACATGGTCACAAATAATGTCGCGTGAACGATGTGTGAATAACGACCTTTTCTGACATTTTTCACGGCTTTGACAAGAAGGTGAAAATTTGTGATGGTCGCAATGATTCCAATGATGATCAATATGATATACTGGTTCCTTATTAGGAAGTTGGAGTCTTCGTACGAGTCGCTATTCTAAAAACAAAATAATGAAAATAATATCACAAAATCAACATTTGTTATAATTATACGAAAGAAAAGGTGCCACCTAGATTCGAACCCTTAACCATTGGTGAAAAAAGTCAACATATATTTTTTAATCGTGTAAAAATAACGTTTTTTCAAAAAACTGTCAAGGTCAAGGTATGAAGATTACGTCTTTTTGAAATTATGTAATAAACTTGCATGACGTAATGGATCTTTCCGTTCCGAACTGGGCAGATCAACCGCGTACAAGGCCACCTCTCGTATGATTCCGACGTGGTCAAACGCCTTCACACATTTCCCATTTGTGAATCGGTCGACGAATGCAGTCTGTTCGATTAGTTTGAACTCGCTCAGTTTGATGTAGCCATTTTGCAGGTACGCTTCACATTCTGCAGGATCCTGAAAATTTTGAAATCTGGAATAAGTTTTTGATTGCCTCTCGAAAGAAATTTTAACCGAGGCTTTATACAACATTTTTAGGCATAAAATTTCATGTATTTTAGTTGAAATTTCGAGTTCGCTTCAATCGAAATAAGCAGAAAAGGAAAAATGATTTTGTTCGAATGGACTTTTTCACACTTTTTAACCTCAAGAAATTTTTGTAAACGTTTTATTTTTTTTAAATTTGTTGAAAAAACCGACAATTTCTCAAATCCTAAAAGATTTGATTATTAACGAGTTATTACCAAATTAGGGCATTATATATTAGAACATCATCATTTCCAGTGATGTCTTTTTCTATAGGTGTATCTTTTTAATGATCTGTCATCTATCGAAAAAATTAAACTCTATGCTTTAAAACAACATTTCAATTTAAAAACTCTCAAAAGACAAGGATAACAGGTTTGTGTGCAAGTAGCACAGAATGTTTGAACTCTTCATGAAAAAATATATCATGTTCTTTTTATTCACTTAAAAGAGCTTTTTGTGCCTTCTGTGGTCTGAAAACTAATCGAAAGCGTAGACAATTAGTAAGTTATTGGTATTCAAAAACAAAAATAATTGAAAAAAAAAACTGTTTCGGAAACTTTTTTCTGTTTTTTTTTTGCAGTTCAGTACGTGGCCAAACTGTGCACTGGATAGGTGCACAATTTTGTGTCTGCATGTTCCTGGATTCCAGAGACAAGTATTTAAACATGTTAAAACTTTGTCGGAACGATCAAATAAAATGAAAGAGCAAAGGAAGAACGAAGGGAGCATCTTTGTTGCGGAATCCGTTTTCATTAACCAAAAAGCACAGTTTGGCCCCGTAATGTTCTAACTTTCATTGTCAAGGAAGCGCTAATTGTAGCTTCACGAAACCATTTTTCCCGTATTATTTTTTTCTGTTTTTCTTCTTCCAAAGGAACTATAAATCTAGCGTGAAACACTTATTTTTGAAAAAATAACAGAAAAAGTTTTTACTGTTAAATTACTTGAAATTAGTTATCCACAAACCGCTTTTTTTATTTCACAGAGTTATATTCAATACAAATTCTTAAAAGAATTTTTGTTTTGTTGGTTTTCAACTATTTGTGGGATTAAATTAGTTAGATATTTTTATTACACGGGATTTTTCGCAGCTTATCCATTATGTTTGCAGTGTCATAAAAACAGTTGGTTGAATAATTGTTCAACCAGTTAAAAAGATTTGAAAATCCTTGAGTATTGAAAGCTTGTTGATGTAATTTTCCCAACTTTTTCTAGCCAAACTGCCCTCTAAAGTAACTTTATATCCAGATGAATCCACAGGTTTTTTCTCTGACAGCAAACGAATACAATGTATTTTCAAGTATAGTCGTATTTGAGTTAATGACGACTAATGCGTCCATGATCAAGTTTTAAAAACTCATAAAACAAAACTGACAAACACTTTTAAGATTTCAGACGTGATGCAGAGCATTACGAGGCCAAAATGTGTATTTTGTGCTTTGGAAGCAGATTCCGCTACAAGGCGCTCTCTTTTGTTCTTCTTTTGTTCTATCGTTTTCTTCGATTGTTCTTAAGATGTCTTAACATCTTTACACACTTGAAACTGGATTCCAGTGACCTAAACCCACTAAACTGTGCGACTATCCAGTTCATAAATTGTCCCCGTACTGAAAGAAAAATTCTTGAGAAACTTTTTTTAAAAAGTCATTGATTTGGAAAATGTTTTGAACTTCATTTAAATAATTTTTCATTTCTTTTATTTCAAGCTGCATTTGTTACTATTTTTGCAGTATTTGCATTGGAATTATGCTCAAACTTTTTCATTTTTACAAAGAATACCTATTTAGCAATATTTTGAGGCCTCAACATAACAATTTTGCAGAAAACAAGATTAAAAATCATAAACCAATTGTTTAAAGTTTGTTCCTGCTTTTAATCATTAGTTGATTTTAACTGATGGTTCATCGTTGCAAGACTGTTCAAACTTGTCTTCACCAAACTCCGGCTTAGAGATTCTAGATCCAGAGGCAAGAAACTTTAAATTAAACTTTTCAAAAGATATGATAAAATTTCTTCAAGTTTTTTTTGCAGTGAAATTCTTTTTGTTGATACAGTGAAACAATTCTGTTTTTTAATCAACCGTTTTTTTGCTGCTAATAACCTAGTTTTTGAAGCATGGCTTCAAAAAATTTAAAAAAATCATACTTAATCCTTGATAAAAATCGTAGATTTCAAAAAAAAATATTACGACGCCAAACTGTGTATATTGTGAGCTGTAAACAGATTCCGCAACAAGGACGCTATCTATGCTTTTCTTTGTTTTCATTTACTTTGATCAGTCCGAGAAAATCTTAACGTGGTTAAAAACTCGTCTCTGGATTCCAGAGACTTAGGAACACCAAATCTTGCGGCTATCCAGTGTACAGCTTGACCTCGTCATGTGCACAGTTTGGCCTCGTTTGTTACAAGATAAACTCCAAAGCAGCCTGCCTAGTCGAAGAAGGGAGGTTATCGTATAAAGTTTTGCAGGAATCTTGCAAGAACTTTTTAAGGACGATACATCTCTTTAAAAGAACTCACAACATTTTAAAAGATAACGTTTTTTGAGCTAGATCTTTAAAGATCTCGAGCAAAAAACAGCTTTACATCTCAAATTTCGTGTAGGAAGTATAGTGCTAACATTTATATACTTGAACAAATCAGCAAAAGAGAGAAAAAAAGAAAATTATTACAGCAAAAACTATGAATATTTTTGTTTATCGTAACTATGTGAACACCAAATAATAATTATTTCAATTATTATTTAAAAATTTGTCATAAAAAATGAAATTAAATTTCAAACATTAGAGTTGCAAAACTAGATAAATTACTCCAAGAAAAATTGTTTTCGGAAATCCTAATTGAAAATGCTTAAATTATAACCGGAACCTGTAGTTTTTACATTTTGAAAGCGGAAAAATGTGCATTTAAAGGAACATTAATGAAAACAGGGTCAATCTTAACTTTTTTCCGATCAAAGTTTCTATGCTGAAAGCTGCAATCAAAAATAATCTATAAAATGTTTGGATCAAAGTGCTGAAGTATTGGCAGGGTGTTGTTTTTTGGTTAAAAATCAGGCGGAATTATTCTGAATACTCTAACCTTTTTGCAATTAACTTCAACCACCCCTTTTGACATTATAAAACAATAAAATCAGCCAGATGATTTAAAATTGACGAATTCTAGATTTTTAATGTAATGATCTCTTGTCAATTGAAACAAAGATATACGAAAATCTGTTTAAAATGAAGAAGAACAGCAAAGATAAAGACTTGTGATTATAATAACTTCTTGAAGTTTCTCTAATGAATATTCGTCCTTTAGTTTTGACTCACATTTCAAACTAGATAAGGCAGGTTAATCCCTAAACTCTACATAGTTCGAAATGGCTGAATGCCTTAGATTGCATGGTTTATTTTGTAACTACTGGAGTTTATTTTTCTTTTCGGTTTAGAAAATAGAAATAGTCGAGAAACTTTTATCTATTTGAATTTTGACCGTTCACAAAAAAGTAACTGCGCCGCTAAAAAAATGAAAAAATTCAGAGTTATAGCTCCCGAATGAAGTCGTGCATAATGTTGCAACAAAAGTTCATATCAAGAATTCGAACGTTTGACACGAACGTTACAACTTTCGTTCAGATGTTAAACTTCTCAAAAATTCTGAGCAGTAATTTTTTTTTCACAAAAAAATGGAGCCTTAGTTAACAAGTAGTTGAAAAGTACCGTAGTTAACAAATCCCAATTATCACACATGAAGATTTGCATATCAACATGCTCCCCAGACAACAAACTGCGTTTTTTTGCTACCAATCACCAGCTGTACTAAAAACACGTTCTGGTGGTGTGCTCGTTGGAGTGATATAAAAATTTTTTTAACCACTTTCGCTAGAGAAGGGAAACTTGACTGCTTTGACCTTCCAGTTTTGTTGAGGATCGAAGTTTTCGTTGAGGTTGCTCTCATTACAATATTAAACTTGTTCGAAACAGAACAAAAAAACCGAAGTTTTATCAATACATATATAATGGTTAAAACCCTAGATAGAACATTTCAGATGATTACGTCGATTGTTAAAAGCATTAACCCGAAAAAATCATACCGAAAATTATATCTGAAAAACAGGTGCAATTTGAGACTCGTACAGACGATGTTGATGCACCTCCTGTAGCCTTTGGTCACTTTATATATGATGTTTTTATAGCCTTTGGTCACTTGTCTCAATATTTTTTCCCAAAAAACTTCAGTTCCTTTTACGGTTCAGTAAACTTATGATAATGAATTATTAACGTAGATTAAAGTTCAGTTTTTTTTCTTTCTGACAAAAAAAATTAAAAAAATGCCTATTTTATCAAATCGTTTAATTATAAACATTAAACTTGTGGTATTAGGTTTTAACTTGAAACTAATTTTTGAACTCCGTGCTCTTTGAAATCATTTTATTAGAAAGAGTTCAGAATACCTCATTACTTCAAAATGAGTGCCGGCGGCGTTTTCTCGTAATTTGTCTCTCGTCCTAAATCCGAATTCTGTTCCGAAACCACTCTTGTCGGGCTGCGAACGAAGATGGGCGTTTTCCTCAAACCCGCTGTCAAACTTAGTAATCTTTTTCCTTCGTTCTTTAGTTCGCTTTTGAAAACTGGGCTTAGAAATCCATAAACAATGATATCCAAAATACCGATGAAAACTCCGACAATATTATCCCAAACATTAAACCACTCACGAATATAATCGTCGTCGATAGGCCCATTGTAAATTTCGGTTATTTTCCAAATAATAACCGGCAGCAACGATAGAACGTAAATCAACGCTGTGATCGATAGTCGTAATGTCGATTTATAAACAGTTTGGTTATAAGAAGTTTCTATCTCGTAGCTATCATTTAACTCGTTAATCGATAGCCGCAAATCGGGTTGAACTAATTGCGCATTTCGTTTCTTAGTTTCATAAGAAATTTTGACTGTTATCACGAACAAAAGGATTGCCAAAACTTGAAGAAAAATCTCGAAACTGAGAAATATAACTTTCGCCAATTTTGCTTTTCCAGATATCAAACATTGGTCTTCGTTTGAGTTCAGAGCATAGGTGAAGTTCGAAAAGCAACCACGACCTGAAAAAAATTGATACAAGAATGGTCGGTTTCAATTAGTTTTTGTTACTTTTTATGATTTCCTCTCGTTTTGAGGGGGGAGGGGGTGCAGCTTTTTTTTCAGCCTGTAAGGTCACTCAATTGCACAATTCCGAAAGTCTAAACTTGGCTGAGATACTCTGAATACAAGAATTGAATACATTGTTGCCGGGTCAAATGTTCTTTTAATTATTTATTTTTTTTACCTGAATACACATTTTCAGTTGGGATTACTTTGAGGAATCCAATGCCAGTGTTGAGTACAGTGAGACTGCATCCCAGTGTCCATACAATAGAGTGGCATAGGAAATGGAACTGAGGTGTCTCGGCTGAGAAAGAAGCAGCTGGTTTCAGGATCAGAAGCACGTTGATGATCAGCACAATCGACCTGCAGTTGGAAAAACATTGCCAACAGACTGTTGAAAAAAGGTCAATGAACGCAAGTAATCAGAAAAAAAGTTAGGACTCTATTTTTTGAAAAATTCTCAACTCTCAAAGTTCACAGAAAAAATTGCTTCCATTAAACCTGTTTGAAACAAGAACTCGATCGCGTTTTTATGACCTTCGCATTTTTTCTGTTCGATAGGCGAGTTTGCCTTCCTTTTAACAAAAGAAATGAGCTGAACTTTAAAATAAATCATAAATCACTCTGCGAAAAAGTAAATGAGCCTGAACAAGTTTTACCTTTACGAAAAAAATCCATTGCGACCTTTACAAAATGTGAAGTAAGTTCATCGACTCTTGAAGTTTTTGAGATTTGCAAGTTATTTATAGTCTCAATCGCGTTTTGCAAAACAACACTACCGCATAATCTATAATAATTTTCAATAAGAGAATTCGCATACAATAACTGAGTGCCCAAATTGATATTCTTATGTGGACTTTTGTAGGTTTTTGTGCTGGTAGTATTCTCTATGATGTTCTTTGCTTATGAAAAAAAAGAATATGAAATCTGGGAAAAATCCATATCTACCAGAAAAGTATGCTTAGGAGCAGTTTTTTGAAATTGATTGGGCTAGGAATAGACGCAGTCGGGGGATTGTATTTCTCTCAATTGACTGGAGATTCAAGCTTCCAAGAACTGAAATGCTTATCATTTGATCATAAGATTGACAATAACTTCATCGTACGCAATAAATCTTCTAATTCACATCCTAAGTAATCTGATGCAGATCAAAATTCCAGATCTGAAATAGGTTAAGAAATGTTAAAATAACGCTTGGATATTTTGGAATGGGTTATTTCAAATATAATCATATAATCTCAGATCTGAATTTTTGATTTTCTTGTTGTTTTTTTCAGATCTGAAAAATCAATGATTCTGATTCAATTGTTGTTCCTGTTCGTTTTTTTCATAGATTTTACTAGCTGCCAGCAGGTACTCAGCAAATTTTCTTTTTGAAACAGCTAAGAAAGAAAATACTTCTTAAGAAAAAAAACTGTTTGTGTAATTAATCGAAAATTTTTCATCGCTAATTAATCTTATTATAATTGCGTTATTCACAACCATCCACTTAATCAATTGTTTGCTCGAAATGAATTTATTATAATTTAGCAAAAAAATCTCAGATTTCTTTTCAGATCTGAAATTTGCTTTTTCAAGGTTTTTTTCAGATCTGAAAATTTCTACTTCAGATCCTAATTAAAAGTTTCAATTTCTACACAGGATCTGAAAAAAACGAATTTCATATCTGAGAATCAACAAACGTAAGAAAAAAAGAATTTCAGATCTTGTTTAGAAAATTCGCTGGGTAGGGGCAGTAATCGGAGAGAAACTTGCAGCAAGACTGCTCGTATCAGGGCGAGGTCCTGAATGTTCCGACTGCCTTTTAAGGTCTATGGAGCAGTAAACACATGGAAAAGTTAATAGTAAAAAAAACATGAAAAATTAAATGAAAAAAGTAAGTTAATTTTCTTTTTGATAGAAGATTTTTGCAAAATTCATCCCCCACACAACCTTTAAAGTGCAAAGTGATAGATTTAGCGACTAGCAACAAATCAATTCTGGTAAATAAGCTTCGTTCAACTAATTTGGAACAATTTTTTTTAAGACGGAACAAATATCCGCTTACGCGTTTATAGTGCGAAATTATCACCCGTTAATAGTCCCCAATTGGCGAAAACGGCAATCTTTAAACCCTTATAACTTTACGAAAAGTGATCAAGTTGAAAATTTTTTCATATTTAAGCCCAGAACAACAATACCTTGTGAATGATAAACCCCCATAACTTCACAAAAAATGGTCACAGGAGAAATATCTTTTCAATTTCGGCTCAGCACAGCAATAGTTTTCGAATGATATAAGAAAAATTTGTCAAAAAAGCTAGTTAAAAAGTCGAAAATTGTCTGAAGAAAAAACCCACCCGAGCTCAAATTTCCGTTACTTTCGTTAAAAAAGTCGGAACAAAAAAACTCAACTGATATCATTACTCTTCATCGTTGCAGCTCAAAAATTATCAAAAGTTCATATATATGATGATTTCAAATAAATTTGCTCCAGCAAAATAGGCTTCTGCAAGCAAAAATTCAAATACTCTCAGTGGACTTTTCTCATTTTTTCTGTAACGAGAAAACGTAGCATAGATCAAATTTAACTTGTCGAAAAGTGTTTTTGATTAGTATAAAATTAGATTTTGTTGTTGGTTAATTTTATTATGATCATTTTTGTTCCGACTATCATAACGAAAGAAACGGAATATTTGTGCTCGGGGTGGGTTTTTTCTTCAGACCAATTTCGACATTTTAACTAACGTTTTTGACCAAATTTTTCTTATATCATTCGAAAACTATTGCTGTGCTGAGCCGAAATTGAAAAGATATTTCTCCTGTGACCATTTTTTGTGAAGTTATGGGGGTTTAAATAGTCATTTTGGCCAATTTGGGACAATTAACGGTCGATGTATTTTGCGCTATTAACGCGTAAGCAGAGATTTAACCCGTCTGAGAAATCGTTCCAAATTGGTTGAAGGAATTTTATTTGCCTTATTTGAATTGTTAAAAGGAGCGAAGTCCATTCTTTTGTACTTTGTATGGCGTGTAGGGGGATGAATTTCACAAAAAATCTCAAATTTTAGAAAACATTTTTTATTTTTTTACTACCTTGAATTTTTTCAGGTTATTATTGCCCGGTAGACGTTAAAGGACAGTCGGAA